GAAGGACTTTTATGCACTACATCTCAGTCTTGGGCACAATGAGTTTTTATGTTATCTATTAGATTTTAGTGGTAAATTTGACAGATGTAGGTTAGCACGTGACAGTTCTTCTTCTGTTTCTCAATAATGCAAGTTAAGTTATCCAGTTTTATGAAATATGTTGAATGAATGTCTCTAAATTGTTTTAATTAAGATATCAAAAGTAAATTGATGTGTTAAATATTGGCATACTTTAACAATCTTTAATTAATTAAATTTAAATGTAACAATAGTCCCTTTTGTGACTTATTTTCATGGCACCTGTTATATTTATGCAAGCCATCCGCCAAATATGGTTTAGATTGTTGACTGTTGACTGTAGCACTTTTGGTACCCAAGCAATAGCTCTGTATCTTAGCAATGTCGTAATTAGAGTAGTGTAGACCCAGGCGATCACCCTGGGCGAAAGGTCACAGGTGCGTCCGACAGTTCGTCGACATTGCTCATAGGCAATATATGCTCTTTTAGCTCTATCATTTAAGTGTGAGTTCCATGTTACCTACCTGTCAAGGGTAGTACCAAGGTATTTCACCCCGACAGAAAAGTTTAGACTGTAGTTTAGAATCCTTGGGGTATTAAGCCCGTGATTCTTCTTTTTCTGGTGAAGAGGACCATCTCTGGCTTCTTAAGATTTATAGATAGTGAGTGTTCCTTGCACCATGTTTCTATTGTTTTAAGTGACAATTTAGTGCTATTGAGACGCTAGAGAAGAAATGTGTTTTTATCAACATCTCAGCCCTTTCGCAAAGGAAGATTTGCTTCCATCTTCCTTCGTTCATATGCCGATATGCCTTTTGAGAGTACTTTTTGTATCCTGGAATCCTGCAATAAATCTTCGATTTCCTCACAGAAGGTTCTTTGAGCAGCTCTCTGTCTTCGCAAGGAAAAGACCTCTTTAAAGCGCAAGGAAAAATAAGCTAACAGAACTTATTATTGGTATCGACTGCACTGCTTACTACACCTTTTGTGATAGCGGAAATACAAACGACAGAGGTAAGTTGCTTAATTACCTTGGCACTTAACTTATTTGCTAAACATGGGTAATAAACGCACCTTCAGGTCATCAAAAGAAGAATCACTAATTGAACTAAGTTTATAACTAGAATAACATATCCAATGGTATTTGTCTATTGTGCAGTATGTGTATTGCATCCGATAGTCTCACAATGTCAAAGGCCTTTGACAAATCTAAATCGACAAAACATAGTTGGGCTAGTTTATTGTATTTTATACACTTCTCTGCTATTTGCCTAACTACAAAGATGGCACCGTTACATGATGTTCTCTGATACAGAAAACTTATTGTTTGCCTGATAAACTAATCATTTTTGTCAGATTATTTTTTGTTACCTTTAATAATAATTCAAAATAGTATTTAACAAATCTATTCCTTCGTAATTATTTAGGTTGCATTTTAAAGATGTTGTAAAAAGAAAAATCATAATAAAACGTTCTTCCCTAATCAGGTATTCTTCATGACCTTAACACTGTAGTAAATATTATGGTTTACTATGGTATTAGCTGCATTTCGCCATATATGCCAACTCTTAGGATATTCGTAGGATGTAAATATATATATTGAGATAATAATAGACATAGAAAAAATTAGCATAATAAATGATTTTTAGTTGATAAACTTAAATAGTGATTAAAGAAATAATTTGTAAGTTATAGACTAGAGAATATTATAAAAACATATTTATATAAGGGAATTTTTAAGAAATTAGTAAATAATAAGTGTAAAAAGTTTTATTTTAATAGTTATAATATTATAGATATATTTAAGTGAGCCATGTTCATAGGCAACCAAATATGTACTGTATTATAATGACAGAAGATTGAATTTGAACTCAATAAGTGACATTTGAATAATAATTATGAATGTAAAATAGTGTTATGTATTAATTTAAGATGTTTAGTTTAAATATAAGTGTATATTCTGATCTGAAAAGCCTTAAGGTTCATAAAATTCTCGATAAAAGATTAAAGAATTTTCTAGAAAACGTCAATATAAGAAATTAACCCTATTTGCATAGTAGAATATTCGAGAATTGATGAGATGAAGAGTTTCGAACATGGTTTATTGCGAAAAATATTCGGGAACGATGAAAAGATATAAATACGATGTAATTTGGAACATTCATTAATTATTTTATTAACATAGTATTAAGTTAGACAGTATGAGAGTAAATTAGAACAGTTAAACAGTTTTTCATTAAGACAGTTACAATTAGACAGTTAGTATAACAGTAAGATAGTGCATTGATTAGCCAGTTCAAGATAGTTAACAGTTACAGTAAGATAATATTGAGTTGGTTAATTAAGAAGTTAAACAGGAGACAGTTCGATAGTTAGTTAATGAATTTATTAAGAAGTTAGTTGATCAGTAAATAGTACAAGCAGATAGTATACAGTGATTGTTAAGAAGAAAAAATAAGATTATAAGTAAGAAGCAAAGGAGAAATAATAAATAAAGAAGAATATTTTACCCATTTATAAATGCCATTAAAAAGAAAAATATTTTAAATTGGTAGAAGCTGATAATTAAAACATTCTGGTATATTTGGAAAAAGTAATTTCACAAAAACAAGGATAACCGAGGCAGATAAAGAAGATATTGAGTGGTGATTATAACCTTTATTTTGGATAACAGTCTCATTTAGGCATTCAGTGAAAGGTACCAAATTTTGTTAATATAATTTAATTATTGTAAGAATTTCAATTTTAAGATAGGTTATTCTAAATTAAATTGTATATATATATATATATATATATATATATATATATATATGTGTGTGTGTGGGTGTGTGTGTTTCATAATAATTATAATAAAGATAATTTAAAAAAGTACTTATAAACTAATTCTTTGAGAACCGCGATAAAAACCTCATACTTATATATGTTATTTTAAAATACTCATTGCTCATACACATTGCTCATTGCCATACACAAACAAAACATCATAGCAATATATTGATAATATTGTGTTTTATAAATTTTATTTTTTATTTATAATAAATGTAATTTTTATAATATGTGGTTCGTTGTTTAATTTAATATATACCTCAGCTAGCTCAATTATATGTTCTAAGCAATCTGTCACTGTGTGACGTCGACTCTGTAGTCTCCTGGTAGAGTTCAAAAAGAAATTAAACCAAAATTTACTTTAGACCTTTGATAAATTAACCCAAATGAAGCACGTTATTTATTAATATTGAACAAATTTAATATAAACAATAAAATTCGTCTGCAACTTCGGTTGCCTTTAAAAATTTACAAAAATAGGAATCGTTTAAGTTTTAACGTGGTTTAGTGACGTGACAGAAAAATGTATTACAAAATGTGGAGACTCTCTACAAGTACCTAAAAACTAAATAAATATTGCAACTTTATAAAGTGTTTAAATGAACTATAAAGAAAAAGAAAATGAACACTTTATTCCGCTGATACTCAAATATAATCAAAATTTCAAATGATCCCCAAAATTATTGTCCAACCTCACTTTAAAACAGTTCTGATTTCTTTAAAGGAAACTAACTACTCAAAAATAATCGGTGAAACTGGAATATCAATCCTCTCTTCGGAAGTTAAGGTACGTACTATTCTATTTTTAATTTAATGATCATTAATAATTTCAAATTTTAAGGCCTATCGCAATTATGTTAATTCATGAATTTTAATTTTCTCAATTTAAATGACATTTCTATACTCCAATATAATTTATAAGTGAAATTGTTTCTCTTACTCTCTGGAACAAATTTCTGGATATCTCTGCTGTGGAAACTGTGGAAAAACTAAATTCTAATTAGACGAGTTAAAAAAACACTCCCGACCTATTCCACAGTTTCAGGGCTCTCCTTCGTCCAAAAAAACCTCGTCGGCGTCCTCTCCAAAAACCAATTCCTCTTATTATCCGTTGCTAACAGCAACCAACGTTCTTATTTTTTCTGTCTTCTATTTAAATATTTTAAACCATAAAACTGTCCTGTTTAACATATTTCTCAAGCCACATTACTTTCTCATAATCACTTTAATCACATATAATTTGGGAATATTCAAAAAAAAATGTTTAGATATAAAACTTATTCTATTACAATACTAATTTATTCTTTTCATCTCCACATCATTGTAATTTCTTATTTAACAAAACCCCTATTAATTTAGCTCCCACAGATTGTCAAATAAACTGTCAAGCAGTTTATTTTCTGACGTTTATTAAAATTTCTATGTTTAAATATTTTTTTAAAATTCTTCTTTTTTTGTTCTTTTTAAGGTTTAGACGATTCACCTATACACTAGGCAACTATACTATTCAGAAATTATTAACACTATACCAGGTAAGTCAAAATTAATTTATTTAACAATTTACTAATCTTTTTCTCTCTTTTATTTCAGAGTCGAACCCACATTGTGATGGCTTCATGAAATTCATAAACAACCAACTCATATAAAAATCCATTAAAGTTGTATATATTTTAACATATTGAAATCATTTCAATATATATATATATAATGAACCAGAAGTATTTGCTGACAACGTAAAGACGTAAACGTTAAATATTGGGTTTGCAGCAATAAAAAATGAAACGTGTACTCTTGTAAATTTTTAATCTAAGCTTTCGGACATTGGTTATGTCCTTTATCAGGGAGAAACTTAATGAGGTTGTATCATCAATAATGTCATATAATGTTGATAAAATTTATCACAGTCTGTCATCTATGTTAAATATAAAACCTATTCCTATATTTAAAATTCAAAAATTACTTTACATTTACAACACCTAAAACAATAATAATGATTTTATACCAAGCTGAAAATGAATTGAAGTGTCATCCGTTTTATGCCATCTTTTATACGAATATGCACAGTCTCTAGTATATGCATTAAATATGCGCAATAAGCTATAATTCTAATTATTAAAATGGTTCACAATAAAATTATATCCTTCTTTTTATTTTAGATCTTTTGAAAAAGTCTGAAGATGCTAGAGTAATTTTCACAGGATCATTTTTGTCTTATTTTCACACGATGACAAGGAGATCAATAAGCGATTTTAAAATTCAGAATTCTCCGTTTAGAACTTTTGACTACCCTAATTCCAAATTCTGTAATATAATAACCGCAGACCTATTTGCAGTTAAACTTAAACGATGGAATATTACTTGTAACAGTTACCAGCCTGGAATAGTTAAAACAGAAATATTTAATAAGGCTGAAAAGAATGTAAGGAGTTTATTCGATGTTTTGTTATTTTATTCCACAATATACCTATATGCAAAATTTGGTGTGGTAAGTATTATTGCGTTTGTTTTCTAAACAATATTCTGACAGTTTTGAGAGAGATTCACACGAGTCTTTCAGTTTTCAGCATTTGAAATAATAACTCTCATTTAAAAAGATAAAAAATTTAGACTTGATTGGGATTTAAATTGGGTTTAATCAACAGCAGAAAATATTTATTAGAAATTTGATCAATACGGCAGATGTAGAATAGAATAATAACGCTGATACTTTTGGTATATGCGAATGGTTACTTAGTTAAAAGAATAATAAAAACTCTGAATTCTAGTATGATTTAGCACATGACGATCAAAAGCCATAATTATATTGATGGTATGATAACAGAAACATTGTCCGATGCATATGTTAATCCTCAGTAGAATACTCCAATTAAAAGGACTTTTATATTGAATAAACTTTTGTAGAAAGAATGACCTGAGAGAATAATTATGAATTCGTTTTTCTAACCCAAAGATATGCAAAAATATACCAAAGAAGCTAAAATTAGAGTTGAAAGATCCATTATTGACTATGTATCGGTAAACAGACCCTTAAGACAATGTATTAATAATATTAAAGAAAGGAGGAGAACATAAATATATATACGACTATTACCTGGTAGTAGTTCGAACTTGTTTCGAAGTGAAACAAAAACTAACACAAAAGGAACCGAGGAAAAGAGACTAAACCCTAAGAAACCTCACTAACGCATTTATAAAGTCATACAGCTAGCAGATAAGAAAATAGCACATACATATAAAAATTATGTAAACAATATTTTACAAAAGCACTTAAATCAGAACTACGACATAGGTAAAACTTGGCACAAACTTAAAGAAGTACTACTCTCCTACATATGGAGAAATAAGCTGTAGGCAAATCTAAGAAATAACTAGAATTAATAAAAACCAGCAGGACACGGATTGGTGTAGTAATGAAAAAAGAAGAGGTCAAATAAAAAAAGTCAGCGTGGCAAAAATACCTAGGAAACCAGAGTGCGGAAAGCTATCAAAAATATAATCAACAGAAGACAAAATCAAAGATGATGAAGAAAAAATTTTACAAAACCCTGAGAAGTCTAAAAACAGAGAAGAGACAACAAACAACAAAACAAATTAAAAATAAAGATGGTCACATCCTCTGCGAGCACACAAGTATTATGAACAGATGTAGAAAATATTTTGAAAACCTCTGGACCCAAGACTCTAATAATAAATTAGACAACACTGAAAAACATGCACATGACCACACAATTAAAAACGAAATAATCCGGTAATTTGGACATAAAAATAGTGGACAAATAACAAAAATTCCCGGAAAGCCAAATATTGGTGTGGAGCTGGGATTTACCATTACAAATAAAGTTTTAAAAATTGCCAGCAATCGTATGTATGCTACAAAAATTATTCGGGGCCAAAGTTGTAGATCTTAAAATTATCTACAAAAATAGTCTTTAAGACTACTTTTCCCAAGAGTTACCATTCCTGAGATATCGCGATTCTAAGAGTCACCTTATACATGATATGCACTTATAAGCCACATTCTGAAAACATTTCGTCACCTGAATGCAGAACTATCTTAACTCAAAAAATTTATTTTTTTTTGTTTATTCCATATAAAGGTAAAACATATTGTATTTTTTTATGCAGAACAATCTTAAGTTAATAAGTTTAAATTTACAGGTAGAAATTTTGTACAACATTTTATACTAAACAGCAGGACTACAGAGGTCTACACTCGCCCATACACGAAGACCAACAGTATTGCCATCTTCAGAATAGTTCTCAGAATTTTCCTACACATGTGCATAATACCGTAGTTCTTGATACAGCGATAGAACAGCAGTTCTCCCAACATTATGATCAGTATAACGGCGTACCCATACCTACCTCCGTAGGGCTACTAGTACCTGAATCAGCAGTATCGCTTATCTCAAAATATTTGTTTGGATTATTATTCACCTGTAAATAACATTATAGATCTCCAAACATCCATAGAACAACCACATTTGCAGCAACATGATAAAGCTAAAGATTCCCATAATCCTACACCTATTATTGTAAACATTGCAACACTTGTTCTTCAAGAGCAAGTCCTTCAGCTCCAAGATGATATTACGTATCCATCCACATCTTCCCGCAAGCTTCTACCGAGTATCTCCCAACAAATTGATGAAAATAGTGACCCATATGCTATACATGGAAGCTCAGATATTGATTTTAATCCAAATGATTTTGATTCTTCAAGTTTTTCTGATGAACGTGATAGTCATAGTTTAATTGTAAAACAGCCCTCTGTTCTACATAAAAAATACCAGAAATCGCTAAGTCTCGTAAGCGAAAAAGTAACCCAGATAATTGGAGGAGAAATAAAATAAAGAAATTACTAAACTCCGGTAAGGCGTATGTAAATTGGAAGTCCAAAGAGGTTTCAGAAAGGATTATGAAACCGCCAAGTCCCATAACATGCAGACTTAAATGTCAAACGAAATTTCAGGAAACACATCACGTCCAGATATTTCAAGATTTTTGGAAATTTTATTTCGAAAGATATTAATTATTAGAGATAATTTGTTTTGCGGAACTTAACTGTGAAGCCTACAAAACACCCCCCAAAAAAACGGACGCAATTGAACTTTCAGAAAGTACCACTTTAAGCAGTGTCATTGAGGGCGTAGAAAACTGTCCTTTTTTTTATACTTTTTCACAAGAAAATTGTCCAGTCAATAGAATAAGGTATGTCAAACGTTTTTCTTAAATACCTTGAGAATAAGTCATCAAATCGTCAAAACAGTAGTTAAAAAACTCATTCAGATTTAATATCGCCACAAGCAGATTTACGAGGTAAAGTACAATGTAATTCTCGATTGCTAAAACATTTTAAGGATTCAGTACGTCATCATATTAACTCCTTTGCTTTGATCGAAAGCCACTATTGCAGAAAAAATAGCACTAAAAAATATTACCACCTGACCTCAATATCAGCAAAATGTACCGTTTATATAAAGCATATTGCGGTAATAACAATATAAGTACTATTGTACTATTGTACTATTGTACTATTGTACCGTAGCTTCTTATGCTATATATAGAGAGGTATTTAGTAATGAATTTAATTTGGGATTCTTTATTCCCAAGAAGAACCAATGCGATTTTTGCAACAAATTTTCTAATTCTACTCAATCAGAAAAGGAAGAACTTCGTTCTGCAATGAAAGTTCACCTTAAAAACAAGGACTTATCTAGGGCAAATAAAGAACTAGACAAAGAGAGAACTAAAACTGATAATTTCTTTTGCATGGCTATATATGACTTACAAAAAACATTGTTATGTCCTAAAGCTGAAGTATCTCTCCTTTACTATAGACGTAAGCTCGCATGTTATAATCTGACTGTGTACAATGTTGCTAACAAACAGGGATACTGCTATATGTGGCCAGAATCGCTAGCATGTAGGGGTGCTTGTGAAATCGGTAGCTGCATATTAAGTTTCATTGGCGAAATGGTACGAAATAGAATTAAGGAACTCAGTTTCTATAGTGACAACTACCCGGGGCAAAACCGCAATCAATTTACATATTGTTTATATATATGTATTGTGCCGCCAAATATGACGTTAAAATTACTCACAGCTTTCTAAAAAAAAGGACAGACACAAAACTAGAGCGACTCCGTAGATGGGGTTATCGAAAGAGCTGCAAAAAAAAATCCCCATATTTAGTCCACAGCAGTGGTATACATTAGCAAGGACTGCGTGTAAAGTGCGGCCTTATAAAATTAAAGAAATGGTTCAGACAGAGTTTTATGATTTAAAGGACATGTTAGCCAAAACTACAAAAAATTGGGATAAAACTGAACAGGGTTGCAAAGTCATATTCAATAATCTAAAAGATATTATGATTGACCCAAAATGCCCAAACGGACTTAATGTTAAATATAGTTTTGAAGAAGATTTCATAAAAAATCAAATTAGATTCATTAGAGACCTATCAACTTAAAATATTGAGAAGCTCGCCGGTTCCAATTTCTGCTACGAAATATAAAGACTTATTATTTTTTTGCGAAAACAAAGTTATACCTACGGAATAACATAACTTTTTTACTAATCTTTAAGCTAGCAACAATCCCGAACCGGAAACTGATGAAAATTAATTTAATATTATGTTAGATTATTAATTAACATATTATTTGATTATTTCATAGTATTTTTTTGGTATTTATATTTTGAATTCTAAACCTTTAATACAAATTAAAAAGTTGTAAATGTTACTAATTTTTATTTTTTGTATCCCATGTTGACCTTAATTTTTTGTGAGCTTGAAATTTATAAATGCAGAAGTAGTGTATGTACCAAAATCGCACTTAAATAGTTCTGCAGTAGAATTTCTAAAACAGTAGTATCCTAAGTCACACTTTTTGGAAAAAAAATGTTATTTATCTGTCTCATTCCTAATAACATATTTAAAAAGTTCCTAATATACCATAATGAGACAATTTTATCATTTAACGGAATACTTTTTAAATTATGCCACATTGAAATATTAAAATTGCTCTCCTGTAAAATATATTAAAAATGTGAGTTAAGCTAATTCTGCATTCAGGTGACGATTTATTCAAAAGATACTCATCAGTCCCTAACTGAATTCCACCTATCACCTATTCAAGTGAATATAAATGTACCTATTACAAGCGTCTACTATTTAGATTATTATTTGTACTATTTTATGGCAGTGTTTTATTTTAGTATTTCAGTTATTATTTAGTATTTCATATGTGTACTTCATAAAGTCCAGATGGTACTAGAACGCGAGTAAGTGAATCAAACTTTTGGTTTTAAAAAATACTCTTTATTTTGTAGGGATAACGTCGATAAAGAAAAAGAAAGCACAGCATTTTCGAAAAAAAAAAAAAAATTGTAACGTGACTACATTAAAATTCAAAGACTTCGTATTGAAATTAGCTAAAGTTAGTTTTGATTATGTTTTAAAGGCTGTGCTTGAACGTATTAATG